CCAACCAGTGACACAGACTGGAGAAGCCTTGAGAGGATTTTCTTTCCTTCCCACTCTGTTCTGTGGGCTTCTTTCATTTATGTGTTTACCTATTGGCTTTTTTTTTTTTTTTTTGGTGGGGGGGATGGGAGTTTTGAGCCAAAATAGTGACTTCATTAACCATCTCCTGGGTCATCAAAGTCTCTGCAGCAAATTAAAAAAAAATAAACTTCATGGAGCTCCAGTGATGCTGTCCAAGATGGTAGAGAGCCCCAACTTGCATGGGCAGTATTGTTCAGAGATCACTACGTATTTGCCGTCGACTGGTTGACTCACCTTGGAACAGCGCTGGATCTTAAGTCTGAGACCTTGCTTCTGGAGCTATCCAGAAGGGAAGGCATTAGGAAGTGGCCCTATATTTTGCTAAAGCCACTCTAATGGCACTCATCAGCCCTCCTCCAAAGGTGAGAAGTTTCTTTTCAGGTCTTCCCAGATCAATAGACTAAGCCCCCAGGGCCTAGTTCTTCCCAGTCTGCAACTTCCTGAATCGCCCAAGTCCTGTCCCTCTTCTTTCATACAGGACACTACCAAGAGAGGGTGTATCACCAAGCAGAGGTTGGTACTTACACCCCATCTGGACTTACATAGGAAGACTGGGCTTAGCTTGTATGTTTAAGGTAAAGGAGGAAGAAGAGAGGAGGTTGAAATCTAACTAAAAATATTTTAGCTCTGATTTTTGGCAATATCATTTTTTTAAAGAAAAACTCCTGTTTTTCTTTAAAAATTATTTAATTTTAATATTAAATTAAAACCTCACTGAGAAATTAAAAATCTCACTGTTAATCTCCAGTGCTCAGAGAATAGCACTGAGTATGTTCTGAAAAGCTTTAAATGCTGGCAAAGGTTTTATTAATCCTTCAGTGGGACAGAAGTGAGTGTCTATTTTTTCCCCTTTGCAATGGCCATCTGATTGTAATTAAGTTTATCTTCCAACTGTAAGTCAGAAATTAGGTAGAATAAATGTCCATGTTTATCCTCTTATCATCCACAGGATAGGAAGTCTTGCATGTGCATCAATGTGTTTTGCTTGCTGGGGACAAAGCCCATAGCGCATGCTGAGGGCAACTGATATCCTATATCCGGCTGGGAATTTCCCCAAAGGCACAGACATTGTCTTTAACCTGCGTCTCTGGTATTTTATGCAGCAAGGCAGCATCCATGTATGATCTCCCCATATTTCATAAGTTTTATTCAAGAGCCCAAAATGTGAAACACACTCAGACAAAATGAAAGAGAGCAGGCCTTTCTGCTCTTCTTGATCACAGAATTGGCATTTCCTGGTTAATGGTAGGAAAGTCAAAGTGTTAGTCACTCAGTTGTGTTCGACTCTCTGCGACCCCAGGGACTGCAGCCCACCAGGCTCCTCTGTCCATGGGATTCTCCAGGCATGAATACTGGAGTGGGTTGCCATTCCCTTCTCCAGGGGATCTTCCTGACCCAGGGATAGAATCCAGGTCTCCTGCTTTGTGGGCAGATTCTTTATCATCTGGGCCACCACTTAACTAAATCAATAGACCATTTCAAAGTTGATATTACCAAAAATTAGGGGTACATTCTACAAACAAGGTGAAGACAGAAGACCAGAGATCAAAAATATGAATATGAAAAGTCATATGAGTTAAATGAGCATAACTTTAGCTACACATAGCAAGTACAGCACTAAGCTGCTTCTAGGGAGGTCAGATACATTTTAATATCTGTATGAAAGTGAAAGTGTCAGTCACTCAGCCGTGGCCGACTCTGTGCAACCCCGTGAACTGAGGCCCACCAGGCTCCTCTGTCCATGGGGTTCTCCAGGCAAGAACACTGGAGTAGGCTGCCATTTCCTTCTCCAGGGGATCTTCCCCACCCAGGGATTGAACCTGGGTCTACCTGCATTGGAGGCAGACCATCTGAGACACCAGGGAAGCCCAATCTGTATGAAACACTGATCCTATTGTGCAAGCATTTCACTTATGCCCATTCAAGAAAGTCATTATTGATTTCACTATTATTTTCTCTAAGCAATATAATAAAGTAAGTTTTGAATAGTTCCAAGACAGAACTCTTTCAAACAGTAAATGTTTGAGTAAATCCAGATACTATAAATAACACCCCAAATTGCTTGGAAAGTATTTCTATAATAGACAAGCTAATTCAGTTTAAAAAGCTAAACTGATAGCTCCATGTAAACATAGCCTATGGGGTTGGGTGGGAGGAAAATGTTTAGGTTCTAAAAAATGACATCATATATATATATATATATAAGTTTATATATGCATATATAAACTTATACCTTATACCATATATATATAAATTTATAAATTTTGCCTTGTGAGAACAGGAACAAATATTCTTCAAAGGAACATACTTTATAAAAGATAAGATAGGTGGGGTGTTGATTTCAGGGTATTGACAATACCTGTCAATTTCAGGATATTGACAATCTAAGAATTTCTCTCAGCATACCAGCTAAACACTGATTCTCCTCTATCTCAAATAATGAGTTCTTATTAAGTTCCTTAAAGATACACCACAGGAAATCACAAAAGTTCATGCTGAGATAAATAAGTTAGATAGTTATAGGCTTCTCCTAACTCTGATAACACCAAGCCATTTTACATATTGTAGGATTCCTGAGCTTTGTCAATTCACTTTCTCCATTGGCCCTCAACAGCCTTTCTTCCGGTAACTCTCCTGTGTTCCACTGAACATGTCTTTGTCCCTGATATTCAGCCTTTACCTTTGTATGTTTACTTCCTACTGCTTCCTGTCTCCACTGGCCTATCCTCAGGGAGAAGAACTGCATGCACACAACCTTCTCTTTCTTTAAAAATGTATCACAGCAGGGTAGTTTTCTCATCCCCCTTCCCCCAGACAACTGGCACTGCCTGCCTTAGCCACGTCTCATCCCCCCACCAGCTTCGCCAACATCCTGTTCCCTTATTGTATGTGTAGAACAAAGGGGAGGTTTAAAGACAACAGCGTGAGTGTGCTGCCACCAACTTTTCTTTTTCTTCCCCAGGACACCACATAAATCTGGATACCATTTTGAAGATAAAAATCAAGGGGCTATACTGATAAGCCTCGAGTTACAGGGTTTAACAACTGAGGACTCAGAAATAATCTCTTCTCAATGTGATTTTCCAGAAATTCATTAATGTCACATTTTCAAAATTTGTTTCTTTGTCGGTACATTTTGTAGAATTTAGAACAGTGAGAAGCTTAAATGTTGCAGTTAAAAATAATAAGTTAAAATGGCACTTTAATATCTAGACAATAAACGATGCAGTGATGTGACTATTATGTTGCTCCATTTTTTTAAAAAAATGGTTTTTGGTTCTTGCACACTCAGTTCCCATTTTTTTCTGATTTCAGACAGTTAGTTCAGAAAGATATTTTCAATTTTAGATATCTTTTCTATTAGTTTTATGATTCAATTATTAATGGAATGGCCAAAAGAACCTTTGATTGTACATATAAATATAACCATATACTATGATCTGATAACATCCTCAAATTTACAATAAAAATTTAATATACAAAATTGGTTGATCTTTTTTGGAAGTTAGGATATTAGTTATTACTTATATTACTTATAAGTAAAACTATAATATCTTCATTTTAAACAGAAATATGGTATATATATTAAAATAGCATTATAAAAATGTACTACAGAAGTCTTAGATGACTATACCTCATCTAAGAGGAACAAAGGAAAACCCAAGTCCAAATTAAATATGAATGGGAATTCCACCCTACCACACTCCATGATTCTGAGGATTGCCTTAGAAGCAAAGCCTCCAAAATCGCTGATGGGAACTGTCTCACAGTTTCTCGTCCTCTGTTTGGCTCTCTATTGCTGAGCTCATCATTCAGAAAACACCCAGACCAAGAAGCAGTGGGACCACAGCGCAACTGTAGGGATGGAAAGGGGGACCCCGGCCCCACTGGGCCCCTTGGTGTTACCTTGCATCAGCATCACGAGGTATAATCACCTACTGAACATGTAAGCACCACAAACATGTTTCAAAAAGTAGTACAAATATTAAAATGCGTTTTTTCCCTCTCAACCCCCGTTTCTCTTCAATCCAAGAATATATGACAAATACATTGATTTCATATGTATATTCTCTGTGCTATCTTAGTGGAGCTTCTTCTTCTAGCTTTGCATATGTTTCCATGTTTCCGTGACTGACAAATTAGTACCACTCTCTACAATTTCAAGGTGAAGCTCTATGAAGCCTCCTAATCTTTCTGCCTCCTTTTCCTAGCTTGACGATTTGATTTGCTTCTAGCATTTTCTCCATCTGCCTAGAAAGTAACCATCAGATATCAGATGACCATTCTAACACTCCAGTAGGTATCATTCTTGATATCTGCAAATATACCTGTGAGTTCTAGGATATTTAGACTGGCATAGAGCACTACATGGCTAGAAACTAGAAGGTCAGAAACTTCTCTAACATGTTAAACAATAAGGTCCTAACCACATGGCCTGGACTTGAAGACTCATTCTAAGTAAAGATTTGGCAAATATCCAGTTGGGCTTTATCCACGCTGAATAAGGCCCAAGTAGTACCCTTTACATCAACAAGGATGGTGGCTCCCCTAACTTAGCAGTCATTCTGGTAAGTCTTTTCTTCAGGTTCCAGGGCAGGCATCAGCTGTATCACTTCTTTTCTCAGGGCAGAAATGAACACATGCTGAAACAAGTTTTCTTCTTTTCCATCTTGGGATCTTTCCATTCAGGGCTTTTCACCAGGAAGAGAAGAGATGGGGCTACTATTTAGCCAAAAGCCATTTAAGTGGTGAAAGTAATGTCGAGATGTTAGAGGTTTATGTTCTTCTGACACGTAAATTCCCGTCTTTCAGTGAGAAAATGGGACTCAGTTGAAATAGTGGATTGAATTCTTAGTTTCCTTGTCTTTACATAAATTAAAAAAAAAAAAAAAAAAAAAAATAGNTCTCAATACATAAATTAAAAAAAAAAAAAAACAAAAAAAGCTCTGTTACAATCATACTTTTAACCAGCTAATCTAGCCTTCATCTCTGGCTGAAATTCTTCTCCAGCCAACGCCGGACTTCTTGCAGGTTGTAAAAGAAGGGGCCCTTTCCTCCCAGATAAGCAATTTTCTGTCTCTGAACAATGCACACGCGTTCAAAGGCTACCCCGTAGGCGACGTTGGCATTATTGTCCATGCGGTCAGCCACAACTCGGCACTGGGGCGGCAAGGAGAAGCGCTCCAGGAGCTGCTGGGCTGCTGCGCATCGGTCTTCCTGGTTCCGGTGCTTCTTTATCTCGAAAAACAAAGAAGAATCCCCAGGCACCGCCCAACCATCTGAAGGATGAGCCTCATCAATGTAGACCAACAGGAAGTCAGCCACGGACGAGAACTCTTCCACCAGTTTGCTGAAGGCTGGCAGCTGGTTAGTGAAAGGAGGTCAGGTGGCCGAGCCGAAGTTGACCACCAGTGGGCGCTCAGGGCTGGCGAAGTCCAGAAGGTGGCACTCAGTCCCATCCACTGTTTTCGCCTGGGCACCACTTCCACCGGCGTCACCTCCTTCCAGACTGGAGACACGCACCACGCTGGAATTGGGGGCATCTTCACCCAATTTCACCTGGCGATGGAAAACGAAAGAGAGAGGCAATACCACGTGAAACACGCGCTCACTTCACTCTGTACAGAAACAGTTGGCTCTAATAAAATGAGCTCTTTCCTTCGGAGGATATGGTAAACACATATTGACTTGAGTAAAGACCCATCATGGCAGGTAAGGTGATGAATGGCCCTAAAGAGAATAAAAGTCTTTTTCATTCTATCTCACCACTAAAGGTAATTTTTTCATCACTGAAGGTACTGCAGCTGTCTTCATAATTAAGTTGAGGCTGGTGTTCTTTACTGTCCTTATTCTGTCAGTGCTTAGCTCACAATATATAACAAATGATTAATGGACTTCATTTTAAAAGTGAAAAGTGAATGGTCTGCTTTAAAATAAATGATCAGAGTTGTGGGACATGGCACCTCTTTCTGAATTCCCACTTCTGAATTCTAAAGTACTCAGGAAAGTCCTTTATTTATAGTCTTGCCTAAAAGTCATTTAATCTGAACCAATGGACAAGGATACTGGTGGGCTTATTCTTATCCAGAATGCGAAAACCTGGGGTCTGCCATTTATAAGAGGAGTTACTCCCACTTAATCTCTTAAGTGCCGCAGCTGTCCCATCTGTAAAATGGTCATTTATGATGCCCATCTTCCTCGTATGTTTATGGAAAGATGACACAGGGAAAAGAGCTCTGTACACTGTATATCATTGTGGGAGTGTAAGTTGCGATTGTAGATGCCATGCAAACATGTGAAACTGAATACCTTTTTTCTGAGTCATTCTATGTTATAATTATTCTTAGAAGTGATTCGAGCTTTCCTTGGTATGACATCCTTTCCGGAGGTTTCTATGGCTACTGCATACTTTGGGGTTCTTTTGACTAGAACCTCGCCATATCCATTACAGAAACAAATGAATGAAAACATACACTTTTATCTCTTGTAGAATTTGACTTTTAATTTCTCATATTTCATGTGTGTTTTAGTCTGTTTCACTTTTTCATCTCAGAAATCACAAGCCATTTACTTTCCTACCATACATTTTATTAACAAATTCCTCTGAATTATGGAATACTCGGACAGAAGAGGTGTAGAGCAAAATTGTTCTAGGTGCTCCCTTTGTATGTGGTTTAAATCATTGAACACAGACTGAAAGAAAGTTTGCTGGCCTTTGAATCTGTAAATTGATAATAAAAAGCAGACAACATAAAAGAGCCAATTACTTCAGTTTGAATTAACAGAATTGGATCTTCCCCTAGAATGGTTTAATCAAAGCTAATAACATTGGGGACAACTTACAAGAGTATAATTGATATTTATACACTATCCTTAATATTACAAAACACTTCCAACTGGATTCACTTTTCCCCCTCATATAAATACCACTGCATATAACATTGCTGTTAATTGAAGTCACTTACAAGCGAATTGTTAAAAACTCAACAATCTAAACCGATATAAAATAGTCAAGGGGTTTCATGGAGAAGCTTCTACCTGATGTTAATGCATAACTTGTTTTAACTGCAGAAGAAGAAGTCAAGAAATCCTTTATCTCCCTTGTGGAAAATCCTAGCAGGGTAGGTTTAAAACAAGGACTATAAGCTTTCTAAAATAAATCTTAAAATAATAATCTTCTTTCTTAGAAAAGGAAGGTGGTGCTATGATTGAAATAAATACATTTGCTTTCAGTCACTGTCAAGAAAAAAGTTTTCTTTATATTAATTTTCCTTAATTTGTAAGTGAAACTAGGTGAAGAAACCTAGTAAACCACTTGTAGCTGGACTCTTTTATATGAGCTACATTCCTCTCTTGAGATTTTAAAATGTACTTAAAATGTAAAGATATGCATCCTAAAGGTATTATAAACTTTTTATTTTAATCTATGGGTTATTTTTGTACTTCTTTGTAGATTTAGATAAAAGATAGCATCACCTTCTCATTAGATCTTCCCCATTTAAAAAAGCAATAATGATTCTAGGATGGCTGCTTTCAACAATATTGTTGTGCTGTGTTTCTCAACATACTGTGATACAAAGATCTGAACGCATTCAGTACAGTCTGAATCCACTAGCTACTGTAGCAACTTCTCATTAAGTGAGGAGAAGAATCAGGAGAAGAATCATCTCTGGACTGCAGACTTGTAGCTTCCTGGTAGGTGGAAAACATCCACTTGCATTTTGCAGTCATTTCTAAGAACGGAACAATTGTGTTGGCCTTGTGACATGGGCCTCTGATGCACCTGACTCTCACCCAAGCTGAACTGTTGATCCTTGCATTATGCCTGATTCTTCAACTGAGTAATCTAATCTGACCTCAGTCACAGGGACTCTCTTGTTACCTGTAATTAATTTTCTTGGAAAGTTAAATAAAGCACCTTCAACTTCTTTAGTGACAATGTATAGGTCAGCCACATAATTTTTCTCAAAATACAAACATGTTAGTTCAGCTTAGAAAACTTGGAACAAGTACAACACCTCTACTTTAAAATCAAAAGTTAGGATAAGCTACCAGATATATCATGTTCTTTAGTAGGTGTGTTTGGTGGGGGAGGGGGCAGAGGTTGGCATTTTGTTAAACTGGAGAATGATGGATATGTATGCTTGGAATTTTTTGTTGAATAAAGTTTTGAATGAATGGTAAGTGTTATCATCTTAGTTAGAGGTCAGTGAAGCATTTTACACTTAATAATAACCCTCACCTACATTGAACATCAGACCTCACTAAGGCAGATGATTTCGAAGGGTGAACCCCCCGGAACCCCACCGTGGAGCACTCTCGCAGGCCACACCCAATGCTGTTGGTCTGTTCTTGGTCATCTCTGCTGGTCATGCATAAAATGACAGTAGCCAGTCCTCTTCATTTTGTAAAGCAGCCACAGGACTTGACTGCAGATTAGAATGTCATAAAAAGAATTATACTTTTGTTCATGAGGGTGATTGGGTAAGAGAAAATGCATAGGTATGCACAATGCTATTACTACAACTAGGAGGGGAAAACACACACCCATGATTTGAAGGGCCAGACATGAGTAGACCAGTAGTCTGCTTTTATAAATGTCATATTCTAATCACAAAATTTGTCTAGTTTTGCTAAAAACTGCTGATATGGGATAATTTAGCAACAATAAAGGAAAAAACTTTTTAAAAAATGGAAGTCTGCTTTAAACTGAAAAAAAAAGTCTTTTAGATGGATAGTATTGTTCATTTCTCACCTTCCTATTTGGTCATCAAGAAAATTAAGTTTGTACTATGACCAACGTTTCAAAGGGTGAATTTCTGAGTTTACTCTGCTTCACACCTTGCTAAGGTGGAATGGGAGAATCACTACTGTCTTCCGTGATGGAAGATTCTTTCCCCAGGAGCAAAACATTCCTTGACAAAAAGCCAAAATGATGAAGAAAATAAAGTTGGTCCATAATAACATTTAGGCTGCAGGAAAGAAGCTCGACAAAAACAAGTTATCCCCTGGTACTCCCAAACTCTGTTTTAATTTCCCACAGTGGCACAGAAAGTCTCCTGGCCACAAGTTACCTATCATCTTAATTTCTCCTTCTTAGAGGGTTTGTGTTTGGTTTTTGTCCTTAATGAGACATATTTGCCAAAGAGGCATTCAAAAGGCATTTTTTACTCTTGCGGAAGAGTAATTAGGTCGGTACCTCTTTCCCTGCCAGCATTAGCCGCTCTAAAGAGAACCCTGCCCAGTATTTAATGCCCAAACACAAGAAGCATCATTTCCACTAATTGGTCTTGAAGTTCCGATGTTCCCAAAGGGTCCCTTTATTTTGCAAGGATCAGAAAGGACATACGTAAAATGTAATATCGTCATCACTGACTTTTATGTCTCTCATCTGCACTATTACATTTGTCCTTTCTTATGTTTTTTTATAATCAACATCAACACAACACCAACAAGGGAGGGAAATAAAGGCTTTGTATTTTTACAGCAGAAGACATCTCTGGGCCAAGCTCAAATGTTGTCATAGCCATATTTATAAATATGAACAAGAGTGTAAATATATGGTGTATATTTGATTCCCTTGATGATCGGATCCCTTTTGCTGACAGTTTTCAGTGCATGAGGACAAGGATAATGCTGCTTTAGCATGTGGACTGTGAAATGCAGGGCAAGGGGAAGAAAAAAGAAAGAACCATTCATCAAGTAGAAGCTGGAAATAGAGCATATACTACTAACCTTGTTTTTCTTCCTTTTCCACAGCCTGAGAAAGGCCTCTGGACAAAATATCACCTAATCTCATGATAGAAAGTAAAGCAAATGATAAAAATGGGGGTAGGTATGTGGCAGGATTCTTTTTACATCTCCTTCTTGCTCTCCAAAGCCCTGGAATGCCTCTATTAACTATCAGGAAACTCTCTGATAGTTAACTCTTTTGACATAATGACCAGGCTACGTCAATATCCTTACAAACGTGGCCAAACAATTATTAAGCAGCATTTTAACCATTTATATTCAAATTGGCCAAACGAATCAGTGGATCAGCTACCTACTCTTTCCTCTGAGTTCAAGTCCCTGTTTGGGCATACTCTTTTTGATTTGTAACTTGAAAACATAGCTCAAAGCTCTATCATTTCCCAGTGTTTTATCCAAGTGATGAACAAACTCTGGCGGTAGCCTGCCTTGTGTTCTTTGGGGAATGTCTGGTTCTTAGAAGAGCCGTTTTCCATTATAGAAACGAGTGTCAAAAGGCTGAGGGGAGTAAAGAGGAGGAGGAGAATGTTAAAGAGACCTTCCAAAACCAAAATTATATGTTCAAATGAATATGTTTTCTGTGCCACAGCAGTATTGACCATGTAGGAGCTAAAGTGCGTGTCAGCATCTATACTGTGTGTTTACTTTTACACTTCATTTAGGTAGGAGCCAGCCTCCCAGACAGAGCCGTCTGCTTACTGGTTGTGTTTTTGTGTCTTTGAGCACCAGCACAAGGATGCAGTGTTAGATGCAGTGACACTGACTAGGGAAAGCTTAAATAACAAACATCTATTATGCACCTCAATCTCTCAACAAAACCCATTAGATTTTCTTTTTTCATCAAAATCATGCTTGGGACTCCCTCTAATCAAACCCAACTTATCTTTACAGGCTTCCCTAGAAAGTTCATTTTAAATCCCATGCAACATTTTAAGGAAGAAGGGTTTTCTGTTTTATTTTGTCCCAATTTTTTTTTTTTTTTCATTTCTTTGTTGCCTCCTGCAGAAGCCAAACACAAGGCTAACATTTTTACCGCACTTTCTCTAAATAGCTTCTCAAGTATCTGCCATTCAACAACCAGGAGAGTTAGAAATGCCCTGCCTCATTGTTTGGTATGTGCACACTCTACATCCCGGAACACTCTGCTTCTGGGGGTGGCAGCCTCAAGTCAGGATTGTGAAACAGGGTGACACCAAACAGAGACTCCCTCAGTGAGTCTCTGGACATGGCTACACCCAATGACAATGGCCCAGATGACAACAGCATTCGGGGAAGTGATTCAACCCGTTTTAGAGGTTCTGGGCGACCCTGAAATGCCACCACCACCCTTGCTACACTTGGAGATGGAAGAAGACCTAAATTGAGTGCAAGCTGTGTTTACCACGTTTCCAGTCATCACACACTCAGTCCAGTCTTATCTCAGGATATATGAGTTCTCGGGTTGCTTCTTCTCATGGCAGCTATTACATAAGTCATGAAAACAAACAGCATTACATCAGTCATGAACTTGGTCACTAGTCAAATCAGTGGACAGAAAGAGTACAGAAGAACACAAACCATGTGCAAAGAAGAAAACAGATCACTCAAGCTTCTCAGTCTCTTAAAGGAGGAACAACAAAATATTGCAACACAATGAAACACTATACGTTGGTGAAAAAACAAATAAGTGATCAAGTTTATTAAAGAGGCATGTGTTTCCTTTCCTCTTATTTCAATAAGCTGCTGGATAGGAGAAACAGCCTCACTTAACATGGGTGGGTGACATTACAACCTCCATATTTTATGTGAGGGTATCTATGGATATAGGTAAAATTCTCCAAAGCAGTGGTTTCTCTTGTATGGCAAAAGTCAATGACTTTCAAAACAGGAAGAGTTTAATAGAGATCGAATAACTGACATTGCCAGGTTATCTCCTAACACCTAGGAAAAACAGATACAGGTGAAAGAACTTCCTAATTCATAATACACCTGACACATTTGTGTAAGCCCCACTCTCCTCTAAATTCTCTACCCACCAAAATGAACATAAACATTCAGTATATACATGTGTGCAAAAGAAGTGATCATCTCAATAGCTCCTTTCCACATCACCCATTCAGCCCATGTACATAATATAAAATGAGGTTTTGGTGTTAGAACTTTGAGTATCATTTAATATTATTATAAGGAAAATTTCACTTACTAACAAGTGCTCTTAACTATTTTTCTATCTTTAAGACAACAAATACAAACCCTCTGCAGGTTACTACCAATAACAAAGACAAGTGTCAGAGTCAAACTTTCCTAATTCACCATGAATATTTTCTTCTTAAACATTTGTTTAATTTTCAGTGGAAGGATCCTACTCCAGATTCCTTGTTACTAGAAATGACTTCCTTTCCTATGCTGGTGCAGATATTTTTTAATTTTTTTTTATATTGGAGTATAGTTAATTAACAATGTTTTGCTAGATTCAGGTATCAGCAAAGTGATTCAGTTATACATATAGATATACCTATTATTTTTCCAATTATTCTCCCACTTAGGTTATTACAGAGTATTGAGCAGAGTTCCCTGTTCTATATTATAGGCCTTATTGATTATCTGTTTTATAGACAGCAGTATGTACATGTCAATCCTAAACTCTCAATCTATCTTTCCCCCCAACCATTCCCCCCTGGTTACCATAGGTTCATTCACTAGATTTATTTTTCTAGTGTTTATTTATAGAGGACTCGTTCTCTTCTTCCTCTTATTCTAGTTTTCCAGCTCTGTTTCTGAGGTTCTGCCTGCCTATAATACATCACCTCACTAGTTCCCATCTTCCACTTAAAGCCCCTTCCCCAGCATCTCAGGCAAGGTCCCTCTATACTGTTGGGGAAATCAAGGATGTCTGCTTTGATAGTAGCTTTTATGGGATGAGTCAATTCTCCCTAAGCTCAGGGACCTTCAGGAATCACACAGGTGTAGGCAGAGGGAGCAAACTCACAAAGGACCCAGTGCCCTTTCCTCTTTGCCCTTAAGATCTGATCCAAGGATGCTCCACCACCTTGAAGCAGCATTCTTCACTTGGAAACAAACACCTCTCTGGTTTTGAGAGGGCAGCCCCTGGGACATGGCTTCGGCAGGTAAGTGAAGCCACTGCTCTAGGGTTCTAGGCACCAGTTATAACAGCTTTGAGACTGTTGTGAACCTTAGACTTATCTGCTCGGTCTAAAGGCAACCTGCTTAAGTTTTGAGAAACAAAGCAAATGTGGTTTCTCGAACAAAGTCTGGATGGTTGACAGCTTGTTCTCAGATCTTTCCTTTTCAAACAGATACCGAGTTAACTCCAGACTCAGTGCCGGATAACTGCTTCAAAAGGCTGAAATCCAGATGAAGGCAGGAGATGAGGGGCATACAGACTTGCTCCCATTAACTCTTACTTCTACCAGGAATGAAGCTGCAACCAGCTGAATCACACCTGCTCTGTTATTCCCTTAAATCTTGTCAGCTCTCTGAGAGTTCTGCGTGGTGTTGTCTTTCTTTCTCCCTGCTTTTTAGTGCCCACCCATTGAACAGTCTTTCCTAAGTCTCACACAGCCTCTCATCAAGCAAAACATCAAGACTGCCAGTTCATGATGAGAGCAGAATAAAGGCAGGGATCTGCCTTCCCTGGACACCTTTCTGACGTTTCCCAACCCTATTCTACAGGCACAAATACCCTCTGCTCCCAAGTCACAGCAAGCCACTCCTGACTCCTTCTGAAGTCACACAGTCACTGGGACTCAGTAATATCTGTCATCCCCAGATTTCAGGTGTGCGATCGTGCGACAGGTGAGGAGAGTAAACACCCAAGCATCACCCTAGGGCCTCCAGAGCGCTCACCCCCCAGCTCCTGCGGGCATCGGGTCCCCTCCAGCATCTCCGCCTCCCGCCCCCGCCGGCCCTGCAGAGGAGCCCCTGGAGCGCTGCTCACCTGTTTGTAGGCGTCGAGGAGGAAGCTTTTCCAGATGCAGCGCATTCCTTCTGAGGTCAGCATGCGCCTCCACTGCCCGCGAGCGGACTTGGAGCGGCTCAGCAGCAGCACCACGTGCTTGAGGAGAATGACCGAGTCATAGAGCGCCAGGAAGAGGCAGTTGGAGAAAAAAACTGGCAGAATCTGCAGTGTGATCAGCAAGTCTACGCTGAGGATGCCCATCTTCTCTGCCTCCCGGGTCAGTTCCCTTGTGCGCTCTGGTTCCCCTTCACCCTCTTATTTAAAAGGGGGGGGGGNAAGCCTTTTATACATTCCCTGGCTAATTGCTGCAATAGAGAAATGAAAGCCTAATCTTGGTAAAGATCTTGACGTCATTGAGAAAGAGGGCTTTACTTTGGCCAGGACTGCAGTGAATAGAAAAGCAAAACTCGACAAGTTTTTTTTTTTTTTTTTTTTTTAAGAAGAGGGGGGGGTGGCAGAGGGACAGTGGAATTTTGCTTTGTGATTTAAAGAGAGAGGAAAAAATTAATACCTTTGAGGGTTTTCAGGAAATGCTCCCAAACTTTGGGAAAAGTTATTTAATATAGCATGTGGGTTGATGGGGAAACTCTCCTCTGATTATTATTATTGTTCTCATTTATTTATAAGGGGTTTGGGAAAGAAAGGTTCCTGGAAGGCAGGTAGAAAAGAGGAAGAGTGATCATACATGATCTCTGTTCTCTTTCTTGGAAGATGTGAATGCTTACCTTCCACCTTTATGTCTACATCCTACAACTATCTCCCGTCACATTTGTGACCTAGGTTCTTTAAATATTTTTGAGTCATGATCTTACTTAAGAAAATCCAAACTGTGAGGTGGAAAACTTTTAAACTCTTTGAATACCATCACAGCACTTCTTTAAAGCTTCTTGTAGAGAATTAGTGCAAATTTTCTTTTCCGTTTTACTGAAGTTTCCAATGCAAAAAAAGAAAGAAAGAAACAAGAAAATCTTCCACCCATGAAAGTAGCTAGGTGACCAGACTTCCTTCCCATTCCATTTTGCCTAGATGCAGATTAAATAAAACTTTTATCTAATGGCATTAAGATGCCATCAGAGTAAGAAATACATTCTTTATAAGAGAGCTCTTTAAATTCTGCAATTGCCCTGTTTCTGTTAGCATAACCCCTAAGAGACATAATACTTTGGGGACTCTTCCTTTTTGCTTGAAAAAATTTTAATTGAATTTGTAGGTTGTTAAGAGCGGACTTTGAATTGTCTCGAGTCACACTGACCATGCTCAGTGCTTGCTTTGCCCATCGCCTTCTGAACAGACAGGTACTTAGTCAGACAATGCTTTGGCAGAATGCCATGACCTCCATCTCATTCTAATTTTCTTTCCTCACTCACCTAACAGATCACCTCTAGGAATTATATTTTCTTGGAAAAAGGGGTGGCAAGTATAGACCTTGGGGTGGGGATATAGAATGGTAGTTGAAAATTAATTTTCTGACTTCTCCATGTTCAAGGAGCTCTCCTTACGCATGAGTTAAGCAGTGGGTGCAAATACGTGGTCCATGTCTGTGTTCTGTCCCTGTGGGTAAAATCTGCAAGATCACGGAACTCATTCAAAAGCCTAGGGCTGGGGTCATTATTTAGTGGATCCATGGGCCAAATTCAGCATGCATACACACTTTATCTGGTTGGCATAGTGCTTTCTGGCTTTAAAAAGTAATTGAATGAGAATGCCTCTAGGTTCTGAGAGACCAGAGTTTTCTGTCTGTTTTGTTCATTGCTATCTCCTGGCAGGTAGAACCATGCCTGGCAAACAGTTAAGTTCAAGGAAGGTGTCTTGAATGGACAGATGGGCTGGGCATACATCGCTCCACACTAGGGGGCACTATTCACATACAATATGTTGTGACCCTGACTGGGGTGCTCCAAAATTTTGTACAACCTGGTGGACTTGGGGGTGGTCCTCCCCATTGGGACAACCCTCACCACTCCCTGTTGTCCTAAAAACCTGATTCCTTCGTTTTTATCATCACTTTAGCCCATGGCAAGTATTGGATTTGCGTCACATGGACTGAATTTTTAGAGAAGAGGTCAAAGCTTAGAAAAATGAAGAGAAGTCACATAGAAAAATATTTTTCCTATGACGAGCACACAGTGTTAGCAAAGGATATTATTTGTATACATAATATACGTTCACTCCATTCTCTCAGTTTTCTCAACGCACTATGGAAGAAAAGAAGGGACAAGGAAAGGGAAGTGACAACAAGGTATTTTAACTGGTGTAGATGGGAAAATGATGGTGCCCGAAGTGCCAGCGAACAATGACAGAAGAAGCTGTGGACTCAGGAATGGACACTGCCACTCAGTGCCCAAGCCTGAAAACTTCACCCCTTCTCAGACATTCCTTTTGCCCTGTGTGAATTAAACCAGTGCTACTTTAAGGTAGAGATATCTTGGCAGCTACGAACCAGTTCTCCCTCACTTGTCATTTGCTTTCAGTGCGAGTTGTACGTTTGGAAATGGCAAGGCAAGGAAAAGGTTTGGTAGAAAATCAGAAAAAAAAAATGCCTTCTTTTAAAATGCAAAGCTCAGGGCACGTGCAGACTATAAATGGTGAAAATCTTTTTTTTTTCTTTTTTACATTCTTTATTTATGGCCTTTCCTATAAAATCAGAAGTGTTTGAGCGTTTTTTTTTTTTTCCCCTAAAAAAATTAGAAGAACAAATTGGCAGATAGCCAATCTGATCATGACATTTCTCAGATTTCTTCTATCACTTTCTCTAAATGAATGAATATATAAATCACAAAACCAAGCACTGTTCTTTTTAGACAGTCTGTCAAATTTAGAAATTGTATTTCTCCAAAGCTATTTCTCTTTTTATTATGATGCATAATGGCTTATTCTAATTATTAATATTTAGCACTTTGATCTTCAGGTAATTTTATATCCTTTAAGTGACAAAAACAACCCATAAGGTGCCAGAGGATGATTTGGCCCAACATATAAAAGAGAGAAAGTAGATCGTCAAGTTTGTAGAGCCCGAGCTGGTATTGGGATATTTCCCCCAACTCTAAACCGCAATTATTTTCCTATGTGACTACTTTATTGATCCTGGTCATTACTCTGAAAATGAAAACCCTTGCCCAAAGTGGTTGCACTAGGTAATTTTACCTTCTGAATTACAAAGGATATCTGGGATTCCATATCTGTTTAATATTGCCCAACTCAAGCTCTTGGTTCCATTCGAAAAGCTTGGATGGCTTCTTGATCACGTAAGTGTTCTTAGCCTTAGTGGTTCAGTGGTAAAGAATCCACCTGCCAAGTCAGGAGATGTGGGTTTGATCTTGGGTGAAGAAAATCCCCTGGAGAAGGAAATGGCACCCCACTCCAGTATTCTTGCCTGGAAAATTCCATGGACAGAGGAGCCTTGTGGGCTACAGGCCATGGGGTCACAGAGAGCCACACGGCTGAATGGCTGAGCATGCAATACAAGCCAATGTGTGGCATGTTGGTTGAATTTCCCCACACAATACTGTACACAGATTTAAATCCTAAATAGAGGTAGCTAGAGAACTCATTCAAAAGCCTAGGGCTGGGGTCATTATTTAGTGGATCCATGGGCCAAATTCAGCATGCATACACACTTTATCTGGTTGGCATAGTGCTTTCTGGCTTTAAAAAGTAATTGAATGAGAATGCCTCTAGGTTCTGAGAGACCAGAGTTTTCTGTCTGTTTTGTTCATTGCTATCTCCTGGCAGGTAGAACCATGCCTGGCAAACAGTTAAGTTCAAGGAAGGTGTCTTGAATGGACAGATGGGCTGGGCATACATCGCTCCACACTAGGGGGCACTATTCACATACAATATGTTGTGACCCTGACTGGGGTGCTCCAAAATTTTGTACAACCTGGTGGACTTGGGGGTGGTCCTCCCCATTGGGACAACCCTCACCACTCCCTGTTGTCCTAAAAACCTGATTCCTTCGTTTTTATCATCACTTTAGCCCATGGCAAGTATTGGATTTGCGTCACATGGACTGAATTTTTAGAGAAGAGGTCAAAGCTTAGAAAAATGAAGAGAAGTCACATAGAAAAACATTTTTCCTATGACGAGCGCACAGTGTTAGCAAAGGATATTATTTGTATACATAATATACGTTCACTCCATTCTCTCAGTTTTCTCAACGCACTATGGAAGAAAAGAAGGGACAAGGAAAGGGAAGTGACAACAAGGTATTTTAACTGGTGTAGATGGGAAAACGATGGTGCCCGAAGTGCCAGCGAACAATGACAGAAGAAGCTGTGGACTCAGGAATGGACACTGCCACTCAGTGCCCAAGCCTGAAAACTTCACCCCTTCTCAGACATTCCTTTTGCCCTGTGTGAATTAAACCAGTGCTACTTTAAGGTAGAGATATCTTGGCAGCTACGAACCAGTTCTCCCTCACTTGTCATTTGCTTTCAGTGCGAGTTGTACGTTTGGAAATGGCAAGGCAAGGAAAAGGTTTGGTAGAAAATCAGAAAAAAAAAATGCCTTCTTTTAAAATGCAAAGCTCAGGGCACGTGCAGACTACAAATGGTGAAAATCATTTTTTTTTTCTTTTTTACATTCTTTATTTATGGCCTTTCCTATAAAATCAGAAGTGTTTGAGCGTTTTTTTTTTTTTCCCCTAAAAAAATTAGAAGAACAAATTGGCAGATAGCCAATCTGATCATGACATTTCTCAGATTTCTTCTATCACTTTCTCTAAATGAATGAATATATAAATCACAAAACCAAGCACTGTTCTTTTTAGACAGTCTGTCAAATTTAGAAATTGTATTTCTCCAAAGCTATTTCTCTTTTTATTATGATGCATAATGGCTTATTCTAATTATTAATATTTAGCACTTTGATCTTCAGGTAATTTTATATCCTTTAAGTGACAAAAACAACCCATAAGGTGCCAGAGGATGATTTGGCCCAACATATAAAAGAGAGAAAGTAGATCGTCAAGTTTGTAGAGCCCGAGCTGGTATTGGGATATTTCCCCCAACTCTAAACCGCAATTATTTTCCTATGTGACTACTTTATTGATCCTGGTCATTACTCTGAAAATGAAAACCCTTGCCCAAAGTGGTTGCACTAGGTAATTTTACCTTCTGAATTACAAAGGATATCTGGGATTCCATATCTGTTTAATATTGCCCAACTCAAGCTCTTGGTTCCATTCGAAAAGCTTGGATGGCTTCTTGATCACGTAAGTGTTCTTAGCCTTAGTGGTTCAGTGGTAAAGAATCCACCTGCCAAGTCAGGAGATGTGGGTTTGATCTTGGGTGAAGAAAATCCCCTGGAGAAGGAAATGGCACCCCACTCCAGTATTCTTGCCTGGAAAATTCCATGGACAGAGGAGCCTTGTGGGCTACAGGCCATGGGGTCACAGAGAGCCACACGGCTGAATGGCTGAGCATGCAATACAAGCCAATGTGTGGCATGTTGGTTGAATTTCCCCACACAATACTGTACACAGATTTAAATCCTAAATAGAGGTAGCTAGGGAAATGTGATTTAGGCTTTTTAATGAGAACCACTATAAAATTGTTGAATTTTTTTTTTTCTCTTTTCATAGCTTAAGAGCATTCATTGCCTCCTTCTGGTTGGAAAAGTAAGCATCCGAGTAATAAGGCTTCCTTTGGTCTACTTTTGACTCTTAAATTGAGATTAAGAGGATGAAGTTGGATAACCTAAAAGCAGACCTGGAGATTTCAAGGATGGAAGTTACAAAGAGTTACTACTCTTTGTTATCTGAAGACATCCAAGGGCATTCAAGAAGTCTATGGAATTCATGCTGCAGATTTTCAAGCAGTCTTAGTTTCATAAAATTGTATTCCTTCTAATTCAAGTGATTTGCTAAAATGATTTTAAATGGAGATTAAATTTTACTTTCACAAAAAAACTTGTCTAATCAATATATGATAAATCCAATAATGTCTGGTCAGGACAGGTTGCACTGATTCTGGTCTGGGAATATGATTGCCATATATACACCCACCTGCCAAGAGTGCATTTCAGAGAAGGAAATCACAAACATTGTCATTATTTAGTTGCTAAGTCATGTATGACTCTTTGAGACCCCATGGATTGCAGCCAGCCAGGCTCCTCTGTCCAGAAGATCTAGATTTCCCAGGCAAGAATACTGGAGTACGGTGCCCTTTCCTCCTCCAGGGGATCTTCCTGACCCAGGGGTCGAACCTGTGTCTCCTGCATTGGCAGGTGGATTTTTTTTTTAACCGCTAAGCCACCAGGGAAACCCAGCCGCCACAACCTTCCACCCCTGGTGACTCCTGGTTGTGCTGAGAGGGAGTTATAATGAAGGGTTTACACCACAATGACTGAATCACTCAGAATTCCCTGTGGGCCCATCCATTCTACTAACAGTCGTGTTCCCTGCCTTGTGATGAAAGGAGAGGCTCAGTGGATAAAATAGACACCCCCAGAGTCAATTCTGACACACCTTGAGCCAAGCAACTTCGGGCTGGGGCCAAGAAGGGGCGGACACTGTGGGAGGGATGAGCAGTCTATCCCAGCAGCCCAGCCGTGCTGTAGGCCCCTTGGCAAACTCTGGCAGAGGGCGCTGTCTGAGGCGTTAAGACGTTCTCCCCTCAGGAACAGCTGCTGCTCTTTTGTTTTTCTTCCAGGCCACCTACCGGCAAAACCAAGAAGGAAAAGAAAAGGGAAAACACAGGAGGAGGGGAAAGCAGAAATGGAGAAAAGGAAGATGATGCTGGTGGAGAAGAGAAAAAGGAATGTAGAAAGGAGAAGACTCAATGAATTGCCCATGGAGGCTGCCACAGGAGAGCCCATTAATGCCCGTTGAGGCGATGCTTTCTGTGAGGACAGCTGTCCAGAGAATGGATGGATGTCAGCGACTCAATTCACAGAGGCCACCGAACAGCTGTGAGGAGATGACGGCTTTCATTGGCCGTTGACCTGGTCTAGACCTAAACTGACGGCCGGTCCCCACCCCAGGGCCTCAGACCTCTTTAGGTGCTCTGAGACTCTTTGAGTGTGAGTTTTGAAACTCGTTTATTAACCTCTGGAGACACCAGGGTTGGATGGAGGGTTAGTGGAATAGATGAGAAGAAGAACACTCTGTGAAGTGACACGCAGCGAATTCCTTCAGGACAAAAAGCCCTCAGAAGGAACAAACTGAACTCATCTCTTTTCCCAAAATTTGATTCAGTGTCTTCAAATCCTCGACCCAATGCAATAGACCAACAGAAACAAAGAAACACAGAATCAGTCATCATTTTTGGAACTTTTCTTCTCCTTTGTTTCATTCTACAGCTCATAGGAAACAACCAGACGATAATTAGGTTTTAAAATAAGTCATTCTCTATAAATGGTTTTACAGTAGATTTTTTTTAATCACTTATACATCACCTCACTCATATGCTGAGTACATGAACACAGAGCTTGGCAAAAAATATTAAGACACACGCTGGTTCATGCCGTTCCAGAAGTAATACTGTAGCTTGTTCCCACTGAGAGCAAAGATGCCACACCTCCTCTCTCAAGATTCAGTAGGTACAAATGCACAGAGAAAATAAGATAGATATTCTATTTCAAGCTCAGTGAAAGTGGTGAAGCTAATAGAATTAACTGTAGCATGAAAAATCCATGTTTGATATGGGGATAAAATACCTGCAATGAGATTGATTGTACAATAAGATACATCCCCAAGGGAAGTTATGAAAATATTATCAGTGGACCTCTTCTCAAGGTAGAGAGGGAGACCAATGAGATAATCTCTCAAAACCCTTTTAAGCCTCTGATGCTATGAAGATAATAGTTAAGAATAAGTTAATATATAACACATACATAAAATAATCCAGCTGGGCTAATGACAATACCATAATCATAAATTATCTCTTTGTCCATTTCAATTCTGAAGACTTAATTTTTGTATGATTAAGTAAATAGTTATGCCTTTCTAAGAGTCAGTAGATGGGACTGAACTAGCATGTCTTCTAAGGAGAAAATACAAGGCATTAAATTCAAATCAATTTTTAATATTCAGCCTCATTTATTAAATTGACACTGGTATCTTTTATCAAGACACAATCACTTAGGTAAATGATTATTTTAAAATTGTTGGTGTTCAGTCACTAAGCATGTAAGTCACATGTCTAACTCTTTGTGGCCCCACGGACTGCAGCAGGCCAGTCTCCTCTGCTCTCTACTATCTCCCAGAGTTTGCTCAAATTCATGTCTGATTCAGTGATGCTAGCCTAACCATCTCATCCTCTGCTGCCCCCTTCTCCTTTCGCCTTCAATCTTTGCCAGCATGAGGGGCTTTTCAATGAGTTGGCTCTTCACATCAGGTGGCCAAAGTATTGGAGTTTCAGCATCAGTCCTTCCGGTGAATATTCAGGGTTGATTTCCTTTAGGATTGACTGGTTTGACCTCTTTGCTGTCCCAGGGATTCTTAAGATTCTTCTCCAGCACCACAGTTCTAAAGCATCAATTCTTTGGTGCTCAACCTTCTTTATGGTCCAACTCTCATATCTGTACGTGACTGCTGGAAAAGCCACAGCTTTGACTAGATGGACCTTTGTCAGCAAACTGATGTCTCTGCTTTTCAATATGCTGTCTAGGTTTGTCATAGCTTTACTTCCAAGGAACAAATGGCTTTTAATTTCATGGCTGCAGTCACCATCCAGAGTGATTTTGGAGCCCAGGAAAATAAAATCTGTCACTGTTTCCACTTTTTCCCTATCTATTTGCTATGAATTGATGGGGCCAGATGCCATGATCTTCATTTTTTGAAGGTGAGTTTTAAACCAGCTTTTCACTCTCCTCTTTCACCGTCATCAAGAAACTCTTTAGTTCCTCTCTGCTCTCCACCATTAGAATGGTATTATCTGCATATCTGAGGTTGTTCGTATTTCTCCCAGCAGTCTTGATTCCAGCTAGTAATTCATCTAGTCCAGCATTCTGCATGATGTACTCTGCATAGAAATTAAATAAGTAGGGTGACAATATACAGTCTTGCCATACTCCTTTCCCAATTTGGAACCAGTCCATTGTTCCATGTCCAGTTCTGATTGTTGCTTACTGACCTGCATACAGGTTTCTCAGGAGACAGGTAAGGTAGTTTAGTATTCCCATCTCTTTAAGAATTTTTCAGTTTGTTGTGATCCACACAGTCAAAGGCTTTGGCATTGTCACTGAGCAGAAGTAGATGTTTTTCTGGAATTCCCTTGCTTTCTTCATGATCCAACAACAACAACTGTTGGCAATTTGATCTCTGATTCCTCTGCCTTTTCTAAACCCAGCTTGTACAAAAAATTTTAAAAAATAGATAGCTACAAATTCTTGAATTGTTTTGTTTTCCCAGGGAAATTTTCTATCATGTTTTAAGGATTCAAAATCTGCCTTTCCAAAATAGAATCAATACTCTTTATGATTTTTTTTGTATCAGTAATGATCTAAATGATACACAAATCTAAGACCTCAAATTCTGCAATGAGAAGTTCGTGTACCGCAACTAGAGAGTAGCCTCCACTCACCAGTACTAGGGAAAAGCCCTCACAGCAATGAAGACTCAGCATAGCCAATAAATAAATAAAAATAAATATCAAGACTTCTAATTCTTCAGAGCAAATATCTCCAGTGCTTCTTGCTAAATGTTAAATAATAACAGCTTACTCAGAAAATTGGCATTCACCTCTTATCAAGAGATATCTTGTTCTAACCAGCACCAGACTCCATTTCTGGGGCCACATAGGCCCATATGACCAAAAGCAAACCTCTGACTTTTGATTTCTCTACCTGTAAAATGGAGCAAAAGCTGTCTTCCCACATTTCTCTCATGTTGGTGGCTAACATATCCATGCTTTTGAAAAGATTTAGTCTTTTTTTAAAAAAATACTCAAAATGAAAAGCAATTTTGGCTGATAAGTTTATTCAGACCTGCTCTAGTCAGTAAGTTCCTTCTAATAAAGACTTCTTTGAAAAAAAAAGAGAAAAAAAAGTTCTTGGCAGGCCAGATCTGATTTTAGTATTAATTACCAACCTGCTCTACATGACTTTAAGGATACAGTGTGTACTTAGTGGAAAACAGGAAAGATTAGCTGTCACTGGGGATGTTGGAGATGCGAGCAAACTTTGCCTAAAGAATAACAACAATCGACCTGAACCTTTGTGCAGATTCAAAACTGAACTGAATCTGCTTGAGAGACCTCTAGAGAAGTATGAAACTCAACTCTAAATTATTCACCATGACACACTTCTGCATCTTTCATGATTCTAGGGAGAAGACAAAGAAAAACTACCCAAATACTCCTCATCCTAGAAAGCAACTGACCTCCCAAGTTTCCTAGACCACAACCGGGTAGATAAATGTTCAATAACAAAGGAGGAAAACCACTGACATTTTAGTGGATAATATGCTTATCAAACTGAAGCCTTAACAAAATTCAGTGTCTATCAAAATGTGTGGTACTTTGTTTTATTCATGCTACATGAAAACATGTCCCTACTCTGCAGAACTATAATTGCAAAGTGTTAGTTGCTCAGCTGTGTCCAACTCTTTGTGAGCCCATGAACTTTAGCCTACCTGCTCCTTTGTCCATGGAATTCACCAGGCAAGGGTACTGGAGTGGGTAGCCATTCCCTTCTCCAGGGGATCTTCCTGACCCAGGGAATGAAACTGGGTCTCCTGCATTGCAGGAAGACTCTTTACTACCTGAGTCACCAGGGAATCCCAAGAGTCTCCAAAGAGCTAGCAAGGCTATTTGTTTCCTCGTGTGACAGAATGGCTTTTCCAGACAGAATCAGAAGGCTTCGTAGGTTGGGAGGAGTCAAGAGGCAAGGATTTAGAAGAATAAATGAATTGATAATAAATATTGGAGGGGAGAAGGACACAATTGATAACACTCAATTCCTTGATCACAACAGATGCTAAATATTGGGGAAAATAGAGAAATATAAAGAATGCAGATGTTCAAGGAAAGGGTGTGAAATTGGAAGTCAGTGAGCATAACACTTTGCTTTTCTATATGCAGCTCCCAGTGAAAGGATATGGGAAACGTGAGAAAAGGGATAGGAAAAAACCAAAGACATTTGCTTACATGGTAAAGTTAGCTCAAGTTCACTCAAAGGATTAGCCATGACAAGACATGTATTCAGATAGCCTTCCTCTGACTACAAATGTTTACTGAAACCTACAAAGAGCTCGTCATTGTACTGGCATTGAAAAGGATCCCTTGGGTCTCAATCAAATTCAGAGTCCAACAGGGGGAGACAGACGTGTAAACCAAAGAAGGCAACTCAGCATCCTAGGCGCTGTAACAGAGAACCACAGCGTACAGTATGGCATAAAGGATGAACTGCTGCTGCTGTTCAGTCGCTAATTCCTGTCTGACTTTCGCAACCCCATGGACTGTAGCCCACCAGTCTACCTGAGTCTCCTGCACCGGCAGGCAGATTCTATACTGGTGGCCACCAGGGAAACCCTAAAGGAAGAATTAGTCAGTTCTATGTGGGGTAGAGACGTTCCAGGTGTCTCAGTGGTAAAGAATCTGCAGGAGACATGGGTTCAGTACCTGGTTGGGAAGTCCCCTGGAGAAGGAAATGGCTACCCAGTACAGTACTCTTGCCTGGAGAATCCCATGGACAGAGGAGCCTGGCAGACTACAGTCCATGGGGTAACAAAGAGTCAGACAGAACTGAGCAAATGAGCCCACATAGACATGTGGGATAAGTCAGGAAAGAGGTAATGAAGAAAATACACAGGCCCCACTAAATATAGTTCTGCAAAACTGAATTTAGAAACACGGTGCTTGTTAATGGAGCAAGCTTTAAACAATGTTTTCATATACATCTGTGTTTATAACATTTTATCATTAATCTCTATTAAAGGAACTCACATAGAATTTTCTTACCCTGGAACATAAGCTATATGCGTGTGTGTATATGTTAGTCACTGTGTTGTGTCTACCTCTTCGAGACCCCATAGACCACGGCCCACCAGGCTCCTCTGTCCATGGAATTCTCTAGGCAAGAATACTGGAGTGGACTGCCATTCCCTTCTTCAGAGGGTCTTCCTGACCCTGGGATTGAACCAGGGTCTCCTGCATTGTAGCCAGAGTCTGTACCGTCTGAGCCACCAGGAAAAGTTATTTAGAAATAAATAAGCTTCTTCTGATAAACAGTAGAGTTGTTATAGCTACACAAAATGAAGAAGTTTGCCCAAAACTCTTTGGACAGATCCCATCAGTAACAACAAGGAACGAGGACCTGGGTATACCCTATCTGTTTTCCAACTGACAGGAAGTTACTATGTACAAGTTCAGCCTTAACACCTTAGTGTTATGACTTTGACATGGAGGCTGG